TTGGAAGTATTTGAGACGATTTTATCAAGTTTCATGAAAATCCTGTCATCTTTATCCATATTCTATAGTTTACACACGGTAATGAAGTGTAATAATACCAAGAATATTTCAGGTATTTTAGCCCATTAGTATTTACGCCAGTATTTATTGATTCTTTTCAGAAAGAAGAAAAACAACTGCTAATGTAATACGTAACAGGAAAACGCATTGTTTAAAGATTGGTCGTCACAATCCATTGAATAAAGCGTAAGAAATAGAGAATCGAATCAAACGTGCATGACTCATGGACATGTTACATAAAAATGCACAGACATATTACATAAAAATGTACAGACCATGTCAGTGGTATATTCGAGATTAGAAATAAGATTAACTCGCTCTTAAGACTGTTAGATCATTTGGTAATTATTTGTGGACTACTTTAAATACTCCCCTATTAGCATTTATTGAATACAAAGTTGATTATTTACTTACAGTCATCTGTAAATTAATGTTAATTACAAATCAGTTTCTATACTATTCTGAAGTACAGAAACTGTTAAGTAGTCAATTTTATGTAAAATTAAATATTGTCCTTATTTAATGTTATGAAAAGTAATTAATGGTATGCGGTAATTTATGACATTTGCATCGAAATCGTGCGAATCGTGTTTGTATTCTGTAAATGGAAACCTTTCATGAGAAAAATAAAAACTGAGAACAAAAACCAGAATTACATCCTCAACGTTAGACGTCACTATTAATAATGTGATGCGAAATGTTATACAAACTTATTACAGACTTGTCCAGAAGTTTATAATTTTTTAACTAGGCACAAAAACATGTAGGTACAACAATGTTATACAGGGTGGTCCATGCAACTTGTTCACCTTGAATAACTTCTAAAGTAAACATCGTATGAAAAAATTTTTTATAGAAAAATTGTAAGGTTTGGAAGGATACATTATGTAATGTATATATATTTTTTGAAAGTCGAGGTGTTTGAGAGATTTTAAGGTCAACTTCGTTTTTTTAAATAGAATGCTATATTCTTTATGCCAAAATATCGAAGAGCATTAAATTTTGAGTAAAAAAGTGCTGACCTTTATTATCCGTAAACCTAATAATTAACGAGTAATTTCACTTTGTTTCGTGAAAATGATCTGTACATAATATCAATACTAGCAAAGATTTCCATAGGACTTCTTCCATTTGCTAACGTAGGTGTTCTGTATAATACTGTTTCGTTATATGTATAGTGTAGACGCAGCTTTAGCGTCAATAGATATAGCCTTGTATCAGTTATTCCAATTCTAATTCTTTCGTCCTGGTAAGAAGATTCAGCCGGCCTACGAGGATATACTGAGGAACGCGTGAAATTTCGATTCTCCCGACGGAAGAAGCGCGCAAACGTTCGACGAAATCACACGACGCGACATAATGGATCGCGTACGGGTGGCATGCAGCGGCAGGTAAAGGCGTCGCGAGCGTCCATGATCAAAGGCCGGCCCGAATGGGAAATTATAATTAATTAAGGTAATTGGAAATTAGCGACCGATCTTGCCGGTACTAATGGCGCGCCCTACTCTACTCTTAATTGAGTTAGCAGCCGCTTTTGAGGAGCCCCCGTATCGCTGATAGCCGGCCCTAATCGTATTCCTACAAGGGGGGACTCGATAGAACAGCTAATAGCATCGCCGCGCCGACGACGAGCGCAGTCTTCCAAGTCGTTGGGTAGATGCTTACCAGGTGTCGTTATTAGAGGGTTTATTCAAGGAAGTCGATTTACGCGGTATTGGTCGAGACCCCGATTTGTACCGTGAAAATCTGAATCGCGAATATACATATATATATATATATACATATATACATATATACAGTGGACTCGAACTATAGGATGTCCTAAAATAGCTTCGACTCCCGGAAATGAGGGGTTCCCTGAGTGATTTGAAACAACTTTTTCCTTAGCGAAAATGTTCTCCGAGGCTTTGTTAACAAGATATTAACGAAAAACCCCGACCAATCAGAGCGTGCGTCTTCCGACTGAGTTCCCGCGTTATCGTAAGCTACCAATCGCAGCGCGTAACCCACGATACCGCGGTAGCTCGGCCGAAAGATGCGCGCTCTGATTGGTCGGAGTTTTTCGTTAATATCTCGTTAACAAAGCCTCGGAGAACATTTTCGCTAAGGAAAAAGTTGTTTCAAATCACTCAGGGGACCCCTCATTTCCGGAGGTCGAAGCTACTTTGGGACACCCTTTATACAAGGTACTACTTATATAAAATACCGGGACACGTTGGAGATATTGAAACACCCTAATAACATCGACAGGGATACAGGCCACCACTTGAACCCAATCTGGAGCTCCCTCCTCCCAGTTTTTTAATTGTTCGGCTGACCAATTAAAATTTCTTCTGATTGGTAAGCAATGAACCGGAACATGAGCAAGCTCATCAAGTATATTAGAGAAGCACCATAAGGTACACACTATTATCAGTGTGTCTTTCGTCCCCCTGATGAAGCTAACTGCAATCCTTGCGAAACATTGGGAAAACAATTCCACAAGGACACGGCTTACACCCGGAAGCCTCAACAGTAAGAACTGTATAATGATGTGAAAGCCTTAAATCTCTGACAGTCATGCTGATTACTAGACTGCGGATTTTATGCATTTATAGCACACACGATTCTCTAAATTCACTATACTTAAGAAATTTGATACATTTTAAAGCTGTATTTATTCTTTTTGAAACCTGATAGAATAGTAAATAAAATTAAACAGGTCTTTGTTTCAATTCAGTTCCTGTAAATTAACCCCTAAAACTCTATATTTGCATAAACATCCGCAGTCTACTGATTACAAATCTTTTTGGTATTAATTGTTTCAGATACATGATTCACAATTTCACACACATGATCACATCAGAGGTGTCTTTTTTTTTAAAGCACACATTTTATGCCCAACTAGTTTGGCGAAATAAGCATCAAACTAATATTTTAAAAAATATTTTGTGTTCTTGAAACATGTATTAAAAATAGAAAATATTCGATTTAATAAAAAATTTTTATTGTGATAAAAAGCATCACCAAAGGAGAAATCGCAGAATACATACGAAAGTATACAAAATATATACAGCTGGACAAATAATTCCTATACAATGTGTTTCATTGACTTTGTCAATGCTAATAATTGGGCTGCGGATCTTTATACAAATTCAAATTTTGAGAAATTAGTTTATTGTATTATAGTTATATCACATATTGGTCCTTAAGTCCAAAGAAAAACAAAATTTATAATAGTCTTTATAAAAAGTTTTACTATATTCTACTGTCCACGTTCACATTCTAACCCAAACCTGCAATCTAATAACGACTTAATAAAATGATTTCAAAAATATTAAGGAAACATTGAATTCAATCTCAACGTTATACAGACTCCTCTCGATTATCGTCCCAAACTCGGGTACGCGCCAGGACAATAATCATATAGGGAGAAATGCTTCAGATCCTCGTAAATTCGTTTTTTTTTCCCGAACCTCGAGCTTCGGCAAACAAAAGCAGAGGGGCAACAAAGTATTCGCTGGACAATAATCGAGTAAAACAGACCAGACGATAATAGAGAAGAGTCTGTATATACAAATATTATACACGGATATATCAAAACTAAAAAATATATTAATTTGTCCTTCCTATAGTTTCTCAAAAACATCTCTGTGTATATTATTAAGTAGCGAGGCGGCGACAACGTAAAAAAAAAATGACGCAACTTAATTAAAGTGACCGGTCGAAAAAAGAAATGTAATAATAACTCGTTTGCAAATGATATCTATCTCAAAGGTGCAATCTTCCCGGACGGTAGGCGACTCTTAAATTACACTTTCGTTTTAATTTGAGCCAATTTCAAGTCCTGCGGATGCTTTCGTGGATAAGAAGCCCGAAGTGAGATCTAAATCTCGGGGTCATTTTCCACGAGGTAAATGCCAATTAGCCGACCGGTTAACGTGGTATTACTTGGCTGCAGGAGTGCATTACTTGATGCATCCCCCGTTGCAGCGGCGAAATAACGCTTGACAACGTTACGAGATGGGCCGGCAAGACGAAGTCAGAAAATATTGTGATAAAAATGACGCGTAAAAGATTAGCAACGAATTTTTTAAAATAACTCATCTAATACCACTAAAATCACCTTATAATCACTTCCACGAGTTCTTTGTTAATTTTTCACGTGCGTTCATAGTTTTTTTTTTTGACAATAATGCCAGATTTATTATATTATATTAAATTAACTATGGACAATGTTGCATAATTTACAGCTGGTTATTATTTTGTAATTTTCTTAAAATAATTCTGACACGTGTTTGGGATATGTTAGAGATCGTTACCCTACCTAGGGATAAGATAAATTAATAGAACTGCTTGAGAAAATTGTATTTCTATTTCAATTTTCATTTTTCATTATGTTCACTGATGCATCTGTTCTTTGGAATATTCCACTAATGAAAACGATACGATAAATGAATCGCTAACTGCAGAAAGGGGGATATCTTTATTTCTCTAAGGAATTCGCTTTTCGACAAGGTACCTATCGCTTTTGTAGGCGGAATCAGGGACTTAAACCGGTATGATTTTGATACCGGTATTATGCCATCAAAGCTATACCGAAACCGATATATTACCGAAAACCGAAATAAATACCGGTATTTTTTCGATTTCTATAAGAGTAGGGCTTATATAGGGTTATATATCGCGAAGGTACAACCAAAAATACCGGTATTTTACGTTTCGGTAGAAGTCCGTGGGCTGAATATACCGTTTACTGCAAAAGAATCACTTGTACTATTTATCTAGTGAGCTATGGACGTAAATAATTTCGGTTCACCGTGAAAACGGTACACATGCAGGCGATTTCACCTGAAAATTTTCGTTTTCTGGACATTATAAGATTTCGACATGTGTCCCCTTTCTGCAATTTACGATTCAAATAAAAGCCAATATTACTCGAAATCACTTAATTCACTTACCGCCGCCGTTTTTGTAGCACAGGTAAGGGAATCTCCAAACATTGGCTAGATCTACGGCAAATCCGATGACAGATAAGAGGAAGTCGACTTTGCCGGACCAGGTCTCCCTGCCGTCGACAGACACCTCGAGCTTAGCAGGATTCTTCACCACCCTTGACGACATGGCGCGTCTTCCTGCAAGAAATCGATCGATTAATCTCTACTGGTTCGATAAATCTACAGTATCCCTCCCAACTCCTAATTATCATGCTTCCTTATAGTGATACAGTTTCCTCTCGATTATCGTCCCGAACCAGGATTCGCGCCGGGATAATAATCGTATAGAGAGTAATGCTTCAGACCCTCGTAAATTCGTTATTTGCCCGAATCCCGAGCCTCGGCAACAGAAGCGGAGGGGCAACAAAGTATGCGCTTGATATATTCCACGGCCTCTCCCCACCAGTGGAGGGAATAACACCTGGACAATAATCGTGTAGAACAAGCCAGACGATAATCGAGAGGGGTCTATATCGTCAATTCATTCGTATTATAAAGCTTCAGTTCTTTCTCGATCGATCACTAAACTGCGGATTTTATGCATTTATGGGATGCATGGTTGCATAAAACACAATGCAAAAATTAACGTTCGTAATTTATTTGAAACCTGATGGAACACCTTTAATTTCTGTTTAATTTCAATTTCTCTAAATTGTTCAGAAAAATCTGTATTTGCATGAAGATCCGCAAGTCTATTTATCACTAACGTCCGGTACGTTCGTTAACAAGACGATGTGAACAAACGTTGTTCATGTTGTTGAAATTTTCTTTTAAATAATGGATAATATATCACGCATGAAACCTTATGTTTTTATTTTTTATATTAGTTTATTATATTTTTATACTAGTTTTATTAACGTATAACCTAGAAATTTATTCGGGACTAACCGACACATTTATTCGAACCTAACATGTTACTCAGCAAAACACTCCTCGTAGATTTTTTAACCAGCATCGATGCTTTGTATTGAAATAAAAAAAAACTTTTTTTTTTACCATCACAATATGTATTACAGAGCGCCAAAGGATAGGGTATATTACACAACTAATCATCGTCGATCGACGATTTTAATCGCGTCCAGAAAGCAAAGCACTCGAGGAATCTCCGATATGAAACGCGGCAACAGATCGAGATTCATTGAGCGGACAGGGGGTTATCCAGGATCAAGTTGACAAGCGTAATGGGTCCTCGTTTCCCCGCGAGTTTTTCCCTAACCGAGGCTACCTAAAAAAAATCACTAATTCTCCGGGCGACACGGGTGATTATATTATTTATTTCGTGAACAAGACACGATGAAATTGAAGAGGGGCGGGGGGCGTGGGTTTGAATCACGGGTAGGTGGCAGGGGATGGAGTCGCGTGCGAGCGGGAGGGGGGCGTGGTCGTGTGTGTAATTTGGCGACGACAAGTTATCGATAGCCCTTCAAGCGACAACGCTTAAGCTCCGAGCGAGGCTCATTGTGCCCCTGTGACGGGTCGCGGACAAACAGCGTATATTTCAAAGGCGGTCGCGGTACCGACCTCGAGGGGACTCTGACTCTCGACCGAGGGGTTTTCTGTCACACGCACTGATCCACGCTTGTCTATAGATCGACCCGATTAATTGATATTCGGCGGTTATTGCCGAACAACGATGGCGAGATCTGCGAACAGACGCGACGAAAAACTGTTGGACCTCCGAGGCCTGCGAATTTTCTGACAGATTGTCCAAAGATCTTACACACAGGGCCGTTCCTGGCGAGAGTGCAAAAGGTGCCCCTGCACACCAGGGCGGCCAAACTCATGGGCGGCTGAAGATTGTTTATTTTTATTATATGTAAAACTTGGACTAGTAAAAATACAATCAAAAGTTTTCCGATGCTTATGAACATTTTAGACAGAATTTAATCAAATTAATTGCGTATGTAATCTTTGTAACAGTACTCGTATACTAGAGGGAATTATCATTATGGACAGCCTAAAATAGCATATGACATTTTACCGTATGTAAGGGATTAAATTCCTATTGATAATTAATAATCACTATTTATCAATCATAACGTCATTTTTACAAACATTATGCGTTAGATTCGTATGATTCTTGGAGGCAAAATAAGGCGGAAATCAAGAGTAACGAAATTGCAACAAATTCTTCGTTTGTTAGTTATTATCGTTTAAATGTTGACCCAAATGATGGCAATCTGTCCGGCGGGGACTGTCGGCGGGGCAGCATTGGTAAGGAGCGTACAGTCACTCTAAATACTCAAAGCTTGCAGAAAAAGTAGGTAGAATAGCTACCTACTTACCTGGTAAAAGATGTCGACAACTTGTGACGGCGATATTTGGTTCAAATTCACTTGTATCGCATTAACACTGGTTACTCGATAAAATTCGCAGAAAATGTAAATATCATCTTACGAATATTATCGAGTAGGAAGGATTAATACCCCCTTTAGTTATCACTAGACTCCGCATGTTTATGCAAATTCAGAATTTTAGACGTTAATTTATAAACATGAAAATCAGATAGAAATTTAGTTCCTGTATTAAATGTCTTGTTATATTGATAGTAACGTATAAGTAATATTAAGTTTTATTAAAATCTTTATTTTACTGAATTTTGTGTGTTAAAATCTGTTATAAGTGCATAAACATCTACTGTCTAGTTATCACATACAGCAACTGTCCACGTGTATCCATGAAGTTAATCCACACATGCACGTAAACCACAGAAGTACGCGAAAAATGTCCACACACACTACGATTGTCCCGCCCGCAAAAAATGTTACACACTGCGCGACCAATTAGACCCTCGCTCGGTTCCTCCGTTGCTTTTACGACTGTACACGTTACACAAAAATAACACTTACAATAATTAATTGATTACTACTCCTTATACTGATTTTTAACCTACAATAATTAATTTACACTATTTATAACAACCACGTATCCTAACTACTAAATAATTACCACGTAATCACTGAATAAATTAAAAGCTAGTTTCCTGAACATGAACTCTATTTGCTCGAAGAATGCTAGAGGCTCCGTTTGGAAAGGACAACTGAAACTGAAACTGTTGAACAGATCCTCCCTCGTTAGGATCGATGTAGCGTAGTAGGTCGATCCCCACTCTTTCATGGTCAATACCTTTTTGGAAGGAAAATCTGCATAGGGAAAGTGTTTTGGAGATCGTATTTCTATGCGCATTATTTTTACAGCAACGTCTGTATTTTTTTTTTGTACACCACTTGGGGCCCCTCGGTCACGATGCCGACGGTGTGCGAGTCTAGACATTATAAAACTCTCTCTTGTCTTCTGCAGTATGACCACCCGCGGATTCCCTGTACGTGTTGTTGCCATCGACGAAGATCTTGCCTATTATGTTTCCGGCTGTTCCCCTTGAAATTAACTTCTAAAAAGGACCTTTAACGTCGAATGCTAACTCCATGCTAGAAACGGTTCATGGTAGATACACAGAATGTATGTGTTTCACAGTTTTCTTTATTCTATTTCATGTAGTTTCTTCATCCATGGTAATACAGGTGTGACAAAATTTCATCTTACTCAAAAACCTCAAACAGTTGGAGTAAAATCGAAGTGATAATAAAATACACATTGCACATAAAACATACATTAAGTCAATATTCAATGTTTCAGGAATAAAGATATTCTCATAAAAATATTGTCAAAGATATTGTACAGGCACTCGTTTAACCCTCAACGGTCATATGGGGTCTATCTGACCTCAGGGCAACCTTGAGGCTAATTTTTACAAACATCCCTAAAATTTGACCAGTAAATATTAAAAATCTAAAAAGTTACGATTTTTTAAGTAAAAACACTCATTTTCCACTGCTTCCTTTTTCACGGATTGTTTTACCACACTCAAATTTAAATTAACACCTATAAAATATTTCATTCTTATTTTGCACTATTTGGAGATTGTTCAGTAATTTTTTCAACCTAATGGTATGATAACCATTTAAAGTCTGTGGGGTAACTGCGACCCCAGTGTGACCGTTATGAGGCTCCAGTGAAGTGTGACCGTTAAGGATTAAAAGCATCGTGCATCACCTGGCGATATCATCGTAAACCACGACCCTTAACGGAGTTTCCGAACGAGCGCCCCAGTCAGTTCTCGAAATTGGACGTTTTATTAGGACGAACAGGACGGAACGATCTGACACGGTCGACGCTAATTATTCCTCGCTCGAAAGGACAATACCTTTTTTGCCTGGTTTTATAATATTCGTATCGTAATCTAGAGTCAACCGTAACAGCAGCGATCGAGGGGAACGAGACGGCTGTATGTTTACATGTGTGAAAGGAAAACGAACCGTGGAGATCGAAGAAATAACAATACCGTCCCGAAATGTTTCCGATTTTCAACAAATTTTCATACGGGTCGTTTCCTCTACATGGTCCTATTTTTCATAAATAAGGTGCTTCTTCAACTGTAACTAATGAAATTAAATTCACAATAAGCAGTTAACAACAGTGGCGCGCTCCGTGTCATATCTGAACGAGTTTTATTAACCCTTTGGTCGTAAGAAATGACGTAATTCTTTCATGTGTAGATAAATTTAGCGGACGCTTCGTGACTTTTACTTTAAAGAATTTGCAAATTTAACTATTTATAACTTCATTATATTAATTTTTACCACTGGGTCAATTTAACACCGACGGGCAAATTAGGTTGAGAAAATGAGAGTTAACCCAAAGAAGGAAACTAAACATGATGGGCTTCTCCCATCATTGAGCGTAACTTGTACCTAACCTATTAACTTTATACTTTGTTTATTCTAATCTAGCGCACGCTCGATGCTAACGATCCGTCGTTTATTATCCATTATTTCTAATTATCCTATACAGGCTAATTATCCTAATGTTAGACATATTGATGAATATGAAGCCCGCCATCTTTAGTTTCTTGCCCCCAACTGTTTGAGGTTCTTGTAACCGCAAAAGAATATGCAATAAACATGGATCGTATCAGACGTATATTAGAATGAAACTAAAATGAAATTTGTCGCATCTGCATTACCATGGATGATGAAATTACATGAAATAGAATAAGGAAAACTGTGAAACACATACATTCTGTATAACTACCATGAACCGTTTCTAGGATGGAGTTAGAAGGGGAAC